ATTTATTATGTACTCGACGACGGAAGAAAGCCACTGGACACTTTTAATTTGATAATGTTTGGCATAATCGCAATCAATTTAGAGGTTTCCTTAGAAATCGCTCCATTTTTTTACTATAAATTCATTTATTAAATTTCTAGACATGCTAAAACTCATAAATTTTATTTTTTTATTCAGCGAATGTATAAGTAATTCCGGTAACTATGTTCCGCCAACTTTATCATAACAGTTGTTCGATTTAGCGGGTTAAAGGTTTTTTTGATTGATTTCTATATGCAGTATAATTTGATTTTTCTTCTGATCTTATTGAATAATAAACTGCATACCCATTTTTGCATGATTTGGTTTCAAAAAAAAAACCGCGCGAAACTTAATCTTTAGAAATAAACTTTTCATCGTTATCGGTACTTGACGTGATTATTTTCAAGATTCGAATTTTCACGCTTTTATAACAAATCTATTTCGAAGAGACGCAAACATAATTACAAATTCTCTTGCATATTTTGATTTTGAAAATAATTATTTTTATAAATGCGAATTCGTTATCCGTCTCGCAAATTATCTGACGATAGGCGAATCTATCCCAGGGTCTTTACAATATTTGAGAAAAATTCCTATTTGCTTATTATTCTTAGTACGCATATCGATATGGTGCAAACTATCCAAGATCATCCGATAATATGATCTATCCTATTTCATTTACGGATTAAAAGAAGTTTATTGCAAATATTTGATGAATTTAGATGGTTTGCACCACAGTACAAAACATAATGTAACTAAAACATCCTATATTTCAGTGCATAAACTTAAATTGTTATTTTATCACTTTGGATGAAAGAAGTTTTGAAATAAATTAATAAGAGAAGCCCTTAAAAAGGCGACATAGATATTGCATGACTATTAAAAAACATCTCAAGGACAATTCAAATGCACTTCTCTTAAATGTAACCAGCATGGAATAAATATACATCAACACAAATAAGTATATGGTTTGACTAAACATAATTATACGATTTAATTCTTTCAGCTCAAAATATACCGATACAAAATTTAATTGTAACTGCACCTCTCTATAAGACACAAAGATTTTTGTTCTTATAAAAATTCATAATTATGTTCTTATCAAGAGAGAAATTTTAATATAATTTATGATAAGTTAGTTTTTGAAAATTGTGCTTATGCGTAATTTATTCTTACATAGAGAGGTGACCCGTATACTTTTTATCATAATTTTTATAATTCCAATGTATATCTACTTTTTTACATTAATTTAGTACTAAACAAGCGCTTTGATCAATTTTGATATTAAAAAACTTTTTTATGCTAATGAGAACAATGTCGAACATTATAGAGGATATTTGCAATGCCAGCAATTCCATAAAGAAAATTAGAAATATTTTCAGTATGTAATCTATTTATAGAAAATCCGTTTCAGATCCTCAAACAAAGGAACAATGCAATTTAAAATAAGGAATTTTCAATTTATGCGCACGGTGAATTTATGAAGATCACCCACAATTTTTAAATGGTCGTGTCTATTCTAACGTATTTTTTTATCGTAGATCCAATCTATCTTTTTTCTTTATTCTTTCAAAATAAAAATTATCAAATTGAAGTTTAGAGATATAAAAAGTTCAATCATCACAAACTTGTCAACAAAGAAAAACAAAGACAAAGACAATCAAGTTAAAAGATAGATAGTAGGCATTATGTTTACTTTGTTATTAAGCAAGTCTTTCCTCTTTCTTTTACTTGTTGAAAAATAAATATAGCAACTATTCTATAAATAGATAGATAAAGTTGGTATAAAAGCAATTTTTATTATTCTCGAAATGCTATCGATGATGAAACCTACATTAATCTTTTTTGATGTTAACCTACGCATGAATGCTAAAAGATAAATTTTCTATTATTATTGTTCCTAACGTTTCTGTTTCACTCTAGTTTAAGTTCAAAAGAATACTGTGAGCGTCACTGTACTAATATTATTCTGCTAAATTTCCATTAAACAATCAGAATTTATGAGAGGTAAAGTAATACATGCAATAGCGCTAATATGTCTCTTTAATGTAAGCGATCTTTGTTAGACTATACAACTGTATATTTATAGAGATAGTACGTTTTACTCTGTTTTCCCTTATTTACTTGTCATTAATGTCTGCAGCTCGAAGCTTGTCTTTTCTATCTATGTAACCGGTTTATAATATTATGCTTCATTTAGATAGTAAAGTCACATTGATGCAAGTCCACTATATGGACGAAAAAAGATTAAACCATTATTCCTTGATACAGAGAGAGAATGCAAAGCGTAATCGTCAGACAATACATTTCAATTAGCAACGAAGATACCTCATAGCAATATGATCTAGTATTATTTGTTAACGCCCAATCGGAAGCCAAAGTAATAAGAAATTGTTATTTTCTTTATTTGTTGTTACAACTCAATGGAGGATATTGAAGATTAAAGAAAGTGTGAACTGAAACGAGTCATAATGAAACACACGTATATTTTCGCTTAAATAATAATTTGTAATTAGTAATTTTCTCATCATTCATTACAATACATGTTTTTTATTAACGAATTCACCCCCCCCAAAAATTAGTACTTATTATTAATAACTTTAAATCCTACGGAATAATGTGGGTCGTCCGTTCATCGTACTTTAATCCGCTACACAGTACTTTTTTATGCGGATACTTGGTTGGAGTCATATTGATAAAATATGCGCATATATTATTCTATTTGTTATGCATTCAATGTACAATCATACAATCATTTAGGAGACTGGCAAATACATGTATTAGCTAATGTTGATCTCAGGATTATATGATTAGCTAGTTATCATTTCTAATAATTTAATATAAAAAAATCACATCACGTTATCTCAGGTTATAATAAAATTAATTATATTACCTAATATATGTATTTGTTGCCCCTTACATATGGGGACCGTCAATAAAAACCATGATTTTATGACAACCCCATATAATTTAAATAGTGATTATTTTGTTCACAGAGAATTTGGTTATCGAAACTTATAATTCGGTATGTTAGAAGAAATTCTTCAAAGCACAAATTACTTAAATGGAGAAAAAAGCAAACAATTGACCATTTTTTTCGTTAATATTATCGAAAGTCATGATTCCAAGGAAAGAATCTCTGCAAATTAATTAATTCTAAAAATACCTTTTAAATTTTTTGAAACTTAGGGTTAAAGAATAAAGAAGAGTTAGCTATATTTTATTTTCAAAGCGAACAAACAATCATGGTATAATGCGCATTATGCGCACGAGGATTTAAACATTCATAATTCTGAAACAACGTAACATATTCGCGCTTTTTTATATTTATTTCCTAAATAAGATAATTAAATGTATCCGATGATTACACAAACATGTACATACATATATTTATGATGCATTGAAACCTCAAATGTGTATGTGAAATTCCATGTGCTGATCAAATAAAGTCTGTGAATACTTGGCTTGAAATGGGATGTTTGTCTTTGTTATTTAGTATTTCTAATTATAACTCAATCAATGGAAAATGATAGTATACTTAATGATTTCCTTTAGTTCATAGAGAAGTTGAGTGAAATTAAAGAAGGCAAATAAAAATAAATTTAAAAATGTTCTTTTTTGTTACATGTATATTGAATGGTAGCACCTTGTACGCCTAGGTGTCATTCATTGCCTGATTAGTCTACTTATTCCACTTGCCTCTGAAAACAAGCCACAAATTATTGCTCACCCACATAACGATAATTACAAGCATACCCTCAATTTCAATAATAAACCCGAGGTCTAAATTTTTACATGCAGATAGCTGGATCATTCGTTTGCATGACATTGCTTCTGAACAAGAAAAATAGGGTTATATTTATCATTATTTCTTGAAACCAAAATAGAGGGAGTTCTAAAAATATCTTCTATTATTCTTTTTTTTTTGAAATAATAAGAACCAAAATATCCATCGTTTCCCTTTGTCTTAATCCGTCATTAGGTGGTATTACTAGGTATCATTCGCTGGTTTTGATCCTATAACTTATTATTATTGAAGATCTAAACCCCCCAGGAAACAAGTCATTTTTTCCTTTGTCAAATATAAATTAAAAATCCTACTATCGGTATCTTACTTTAATATTATCGTTTATTCAATTATACCCTATTTACCACAAACAACGAGCGTAAATAGTGTAGGTCGCACATTTGTTTCTGTGTATGAGTGTAATCTTCTTTATTAGTCAGTTTATGTTTACTATTATTGTCTATCTGTGTGACACATTTGTTTCTAAATGCAACAAAAACCCGAAACAAGGTATTATTTGTGCAAATTTGAGACAAGGCAAATATAAACTTAACCTCGTACATACATACAAGTAGATGTTCTACCTGTCGACTGTAATAATATTTTCTCGCTTATGACGAGTTATCGAGTAACGATGTGCATATCGAATAGCCTTTTTCTGAAGAAAACATTCCACGCGCGTGGATAAAAAAGAAAGACAATTTAGACTTTGCATAATACATGTATTTAAACCATATATATATTTACATAAATAGATTTTTTAAACAACAAAATAGTAGACTATTGTAAAGTGGCAAATAATATTCTAAAGAAAAAGGTATATATATACTTCACGATACTAGTCTATAACATGAAATTTTTTCTTTTTTTTTATTCTTTTACTTTATGTCATTATTATTTTCTCATTTAACCCATTTTTTATCATTTGTATCATTTTAATTGAAGTCGTGGTTGTGGTATTGGATACCACCCACTCAAAAACACAATCCATTTATAGATAGATTCCCCTAAAAAAAAAAATCGTTATATATTTAACTGGTTTGAAGTTTTCTGACACTCTGCGAGTGATTTGAAAAGCATAGGAGACATTTAAATTTATCAATCACTTATCATATCATCAATTACATTATTAGCATTGTAGCATTTTTTTTTTCATTCTTTTTCCTTTAGACACATACAAATTTTCATCATGATGAATAATAGTATCATTGCAATCGATATCCTCCCAGAAAATGATGGGAAAGTATTAATGTACGGGGCACCCAACAAAGATGCCAGCTATCGAATCTCCGGAAAACTACGAATAGTTCTTTCGAAGCCACTTAAAGTAAAACAGGTGGTTATCAAATTAAAAGGAAAATCCGAATATTCCGATTGGGAAAATCAATATTCGGCAATTAACCTCCTGAGACTCGAATCAATCCTGATCGAGAAACAGTTAATCTCACACGGGGTAACCGATCTCGACTATGCGTTCGATATTCCAGGTAACATACCACAGACCTACGTTACTTCTTTTGGACTGATCAAGTATAGATTGGCCGCGACCGTGCAACCAAGTTCGTTGCTCACGAAAGCTGGGCACGTGGAACGAAGCATAAATCTCGGCCGACATTACTTACCGTGTCCTCGTGATTTATTGCCAGCGCCACCTGCAAAAGTTTATCGTGGTCAACGGAAGAACGTTCTTAAATACGAATTGGACATACCGACCGTGATTGGCGTGAATGAAAAAGGAATGTTGGTTAGAGTTCGATTATTGCCACTATCGGATCGAGGTCAAGTCCACAAAATTGCTTTTGACTTGCTACAATCAGAAAAATATAGAGCTCAACCAACTCAAAAAGATTTACAAGAATTTAGCATTAATGGGGCTCAATTGGTTGGAAATGTGCAATTAAGTCATGCATCAAACACCAAACGAAAGAGAAATCATCTTATTAAACCCACTTCTTTAAATATCTCGAACGAAGTAGATGCCTGGAATAATCCTCTGACTTATAATTTACTATTTATAGCGAATAGTCATAATAATAATAGTAGTAGCAATACTAATAGCGCTAATAGTCATGTTAGTGGCAAACCAAGATTAAAAGCAACGATAAAAAGTCCATTAATAAGAGTTCGGCATAGACTTCGAATTATTATTTCTTTTAAGGACGAGAGTCAAACGAGACTTGATCTACAATTTCCGCTAACCTTTACAACTATTCCAGACGAACCAGTCGATGATAATCAATTGGATAGTGGTTTACCATCATATGATGATGTAATTGGAGGAAATAATGTAGAACTTGAAGCGGATGAGAACGAAAATGATTATTCACGTCCGATTACCCCAAGTGAATCTGGACGCGACGCTTTGGAAACTATCAATGATATCGAGTTAGATCATCATCAACATTTACCAACATCATCTGTTATTCAAGTGAATGAACATAATATTCCTTCTCTTCGTCAAAAAAGAACTCTTGGAAGCTTATCACTTCGTCCTGATCCACCAGTACCAATTTCACCAAGCGACTCAACTTCATCTTCCCGACAGTCAAGTTATGACAATTCATCATCAGCATGTGATAAAAGTGTTCCGTCTCAGTTGAACCTTGTCCCAACGACAACGCACAATCTTCGACCATCAAGTTCATTAAATAATCTTGCTGCCATCGCAGCTTCTTCGTCTTCGTCTTCCATCGCACGTGGAAGCCACTTGTTCACTCGAGCAGGTCGTTCCAGTTGGTATTTGAATATGCCTGATGAAGATGATGGTCCAACTATCGACCCAGAGATTCATTCGGCTCCATCAAGTCCACATAATACACATTTCATTATTCCACCAACTCCAACCGCATCTACTAGTGCTTCACCTCCCGTCAAAATAAGTTATACCACTTCTTTTTTCGGTGCTACATCAGATGAGTCACCGGCACTATCACCAACTTCCACCTCGTCGATTAAAAGTCCGACAAGCGGAGGTGGATTTAGTGGAATGTTAAGAAGAGCTAGTTTAACATTGAAACCAGTTTTACGAAAGAAACAACAAAGAATGTCGGCGAACGTTCAATTAAGTGGTGGTGTAACTGATGACGATGATTTTGAAGAAATCGAAACAATGTGAAATAATGTAAAATAATCGAAATATCAGCATTCTATTGTGGATACTATTAATCAAAAGTTGAAAAATATATACATATACAACAACCATCTTCTATGGGGGGAACCTATAGGATAATCAGCCATAAAATTTAAGACAGATATACTGATAATAGGCATTTATATACGCATAAACTAAAGAAATATTGATTTATTTCTAAAAATTATTTCTAAAAATTAATTATAGCATAAATTAACAACCTCTTTTTCAAAATCAACCTGTATTTTATTTCATAACTCACAAATCGTTCGCAAATAGATTTTGCGTGAAAACAACTCCTCAACCTTCATTTTCTACCAACAACTGTTCCCCGTCTTTATTTTTCACTTACTCATTTAACCATTCACATCATAGAAATCATTCCTTTTCTCTACCTTACATTTTGGTTAATTTATCCATTTATCCGGCTGGTATAACCGATTTACATAGTCATTCATTCTCGAAAGAATCAAAACAAAATTTCTTATAGACAAAATGAAAAACTTTTGCACACATTGTCTTTGTTATTATTTTTTAATTTAATTTAATTGTAATTTAATTAATTTAATTCTTAATTCTTGTAATCATATTAATCCTAATAATAGATGTCAAGTCATGAGGTTGGTAATGTAGAATAAATCGGACCGAATTGTGTAAAACATAATTTTTATTAAGATGATTTCATCTGTATGACAAAAATGACAAAACTTCGAATAAAAATTCCCATTTTTGTTGTTACATGTATTGGTTTAACACAAAGTGAATCAGGTCAATATTTGTTGCACTCGCATTTTTAGTATGCGCACATACCGCTACTTTGTTAGAAGTTAGTTTAGTCAAAAAAATAATACTAGTTAGGAATTACCGAAAAAAATTCTGTATACAGAATCCTTCGCAAATTCTTTACGATGAACAATATTAAGACATTAACTATAGATGCATTAACTATAGCGGTAGCGATCGATAGATAGATATTAAACTTACTCTAGGGGATGTGCACAGATGTGCACCCAATATTGTCAAATTTAGTTAGCCAATTAATGTGTGTAACTATCGAAGGATAATAGTTATTTTCGAGGATCTCCAATCTATATAAAAGATCGATCACCGATTGGACGTGAAAGAATAATACTAACAGTAAATTTTTAAGAGACAGTGGAATAAAACGGAAAATACAGGTTAATTAGAATAGCAAATGCTCACTAGTAAGAATTGACATAAACATTGTGCAGCATTACGTTGCGTGTTTTCTCGTCGGGGTTCTTTGGACGGAGTTCCCGAAAAATTTTTTACTTGCAATAGTGAATGCATCATAGAGAATAATATTAAGTAAGGTTTTTAATAAGGAAGCGCCAAGTATTTTTTCACAAGTTTCCTTCTGATTTGATATTGAATGAAGCACTTGAAACATACTAAACATAAATGACCTCTCGGTTACAAAAGTGTACGTTATCGATCTATGTGGATACAAGGAATAATATTTAAAGAGTTGGCCCGTGATAACGAAGTAATTAAAGTTTAGAAAGTTCTTTTTTATCCACTTACTATTTGTGACATAGAAACGAGACGCGAGAGATTTATCTTAACATATAAGACAGTATAGTATTAACTTTAGATTATTACATTATACTTATATTAAGAACCTTACTGGGAATAATCTTAAATTTAGGGATGTTTATCTTTAAAGATATTAGTTACTTGTTTCACTGCATTGTTCGATAAACACAGGGAATAATATTAACAAAATTTTTTTAAATCTAAAGGTTAAGTGTAGATTCTTATCTTATTGGTAATTTTATTCGTTAGTTTAAATACAAACAGCCATTTAGAATAGATTTTAAATTAATTATATTCAATTGATTTATAAGTATAATTGATGCACTATCATCTATTGAGGTATTATATACCTTCCAATTAAATAGGGATGTCTATTCGATCTTTTATATAAACAATTCGATATTTTTAAAATCATATAAACAATAGAATACAAAATTTTACTGCATGCTGTACACTTATTTATACATAGTATAATAAATTACGACTAGATATCATTTATTAGGTCAAATAAGTTTAAAGAATATTTAAACTAAAAAGGGACTGATTTTTTGCACTTTTTTGTTCTTTGCAAAGAGACCCTGAAAAATACTAAGTAGAACAAGTGTAAACGTCAAGTGTTTATTACGTCAAAGTGGCTTATTATTAATTATAATAATAAATACTAAGTTTCAGTGTCATCAATTAGAAATTACGAAATTATTCTGTGGCTGATAGCAATTTATGTATTCAAAATGTCCTATTGAATGAAAAATTTCATTTATGTAAAAATATTGATATTAAATTAAAATGAGAAAAATAGAATTGGCATAAATTAAATTATTCTTGAATTTGTGAATTTTCAATAATTATTGCTAAATTAGTGCTTGTTGAATTGATCTGAAATCTCAAATCGAACAATTTGATAATCTTAAAAGGATATCGATTTTTTAATTTGTAAATATGAAATAATTGTGTTCGCAATATTTTTATAAACCATCTTTTTTCAACATTATGAATAATTCAAGATTTACAGTGCAATTTTTTAATAGCTTTGAGATTAAATTAAGTGATAAAGTTTTCACAGCAGATAATATTATATTGCAATGCTTCTGGCTGTTTATAAAAGTAAGATTATAAAAGTTAAAATTTATTATTTACCAAATTATAAAGTTGAAGTTTATATATTATTTTGAAATATATAAAAAACTTTTCTTGTCTTTTTCAGTTTTTATATAAGAAATTATTTTGCTTTGATTATTTAGTAAACTAATATTATATTTTTTGTTACATGAAAATTTTTTTGCTTTTGATAAATAATTTTTTTTTATAATATATAGTAAATTATTTATTTAATATTAATATAGTTTTTATATATTGATAGTATATCTTTTAATATGAACTAATTAAATATAGTCAGATCTCTTATAGTAATATATCTTTATAGTCATCTTTTTTTACAGTCATTTTTTTATAGTTATCTTTTTTAAGTTTTCCAGTTACTAATTAATTATAATTAAAAAAATCTTTTTATAGTCATATTTTTCTTTAGTCATCCAATTTTGCTTTTTCAAGTACAATAATTATAGAGAGCTCTAATTATACAGTGACGATCAAAAGTAATGCAACACAAAATTAAAAATTATTAAATCACGATATCTTTGCACAGACTTAAGAATATCAAATTATAGTTGATAGATTTAATTACGTATATGCAAATAACTTAAATATAATAAATTCAATGCGGATAATTAAACCAATTATGTCACAATCATAATATTTATTCAATTTTTAGTGTTGTATTACATTTGCTCATTTTTAATATAAATTTATATAACTCTCAATATAAAATAAAAACATCATATTTTTTTATTTTTTAACTATACCTAATATACTATCATCTAATATAATCACCATGTGCTTTTATTACGTCACAAATCCTTTCTGGCATAGAACAAATTAAATTTGTATAATAATCCACATCAATTTCCTCCCAAACCAGCTGTATTTTTTTCTATAAGTCTTCCATATCCAAAATTGATCCAGAAAGACATCAAAGATAATAATCTACTTCATTCCATAAATGTTTAATTGGATTTAGATCAGGTGATTGTGTCGGCCAATCTAAAACAGTAATATTATTATTATCAAACCACTCTTTCATCAAATTGGCTATATGTTTGGGATCATTATCCTGTTGAAAAATGATCTTATTGATAGCTAACCCATGTTCTTCAATAGTATTCATAAGATCTTCTTTAAGAATTTGTCAATATAATATGCTATTCATGTTCCTATTGATCTTACAAAAGTTACTAACATCACAAAAGGTGAAATAACTCCATACCATTACTTTTCCATCATCAAATTTTATCATAAGTTTAATATGATGACTTTTTAATGACTCACCTATTCTTTTTCAATAATATTATTTTCTATCAGATCCAAAAATCTGAAATTTAGATTTGTCGGACCAGATTATCTTTGACCAATCTTTATAAATCCAGTTTTTATATTTTTTGGCAAATTCAAGATGATATTATTGATATTTGGGCTTTAGATATAGTTTTTTTTGTTTTATTCTCACTACTAAATCATTTTTTTTAGTGTACGATGAACAGTATGCTCTGAAATTTCAATATTTTCAGTTTCACGAAGATGATTTTGGATGACAACGGTGGTAAAGTAGTTACGGAATGTAATAAGATGGACTGTTATTCTTTCTAACCAGTCATTTAATAACTGTGAATGATCAGACTTACTTAAATCATTTAAAATGCATTGTTCATGCCATTTTTTATTAATATGTGAGATGGTAGAAGGACTAATTTTATGAGTTCTTGCTATTTCTCTTGTAGTGTATCTATTTTGAAGTGAAATGATTATTTTAGCTCTTTCTTCAAGAGTTGTATGACATTTTGATGTTTGTTTTTTATTATTAAAAAGCTATAACATAATTTAAGGAAAAAAAAGATAAATAAAATAGTTATTTATTTTGCGACTTTTGAGTAGTATTTACTTATTATTTAATTTTCTAAATAAAAGATCAAAAGAAATGCAATACTAATTTGTGCAAGTTTACGTATTTATCTTGAAATTGTGTTTAATAATAGTAAATTAAATTTTATTAAATAAAACTAGTACTATTAATGTACTATATTTATTAATTTTATTTAAATTTTGTTAGCTACTTATAAATATATCATGATTTAATAATTTTTAATTTTGTGTTGTATTACTTTTGATCGCCACTGTATATTTGAATTATTATATATATATAATAATTATTATAAGAAATTTTAACTAAATATATATAATTTTAGAATTAAAAAATTATATATTAAGTATTATTAAAAAATATATATTTAAAAATTAAAATATAATTATAAAAAGATATAATTACAAAGAACTTTTTAATCAAAATTATTTAATAATTGAATAATTCAAATTAA